TGGCATATACAAAGGCTACTGATTTGTGGACACTGATTTTATATCTTGAGACATGACTGTATTTTTTGATCACTTCCAGGAGTCTTGTGGTTGAGGCTTTGGGATTCTCTAAGATCATATTGTCAGCAAAAAGGGAGAGTTTAACTTCTTCTGCCCCCATTTGGATACCCTTTATTTCCCTCTCTTGCCTGATTGTATTGGCTAGAACAACCTTGTCTGTTAAGTTCTAAGAGGAAAAGCTTTCAGTCTTACTCCATTAAGTATAATATTAGCCATGGGGTTTGTCATAGATGGCTTTAATCAGTTTAAGAAATGTGCCATGTATACCTATATTTTTAAGTGTTCTAATTACAAAAGAATTAGAATTATATTGAATGCTATTTCTGCATCTATTGAGAGGATCATGTGGTCTTTGTTTTTGCTTCTGTTGATATGGTAATTACATTTATGGATTTGCTTTTGATAAACCAGCCTTGTATCCATGGGACACCTACTTGATCATGATGAATGATTTTTTAATGTGTAGCTGTAATCTATTGGCTAGAATTTTATTGTAAATTTTTGTATCTATATTCATTAATGAAATTGGTCTGAGTATACATCTTACATTTCTTTTGCCTCAGCTTCCTCATCTGTGAAGTGGAGGATAGTTTTTCCCTTATACAGTTGTGAAAAGGATCAAATTAGTTTATTAAAAAACAGAACAGGCCAAGCAGGGTAGCTCACACCTATATTCCTAGCTCTCCAGGAGGCTAAGGTGGGAGGATTACTCAGGCTCAGGAATGCAAGACCAGCCTGAGCAGGAGTGAGAGCTCATCTGTACTAAAAAATAGAAAAATTATCCAGGTATGGTGGTAGGTGCCTGTAGTCCCAGCACCTAGGGAGGCTGAAACAGGAGGATCATTTAAGCCCAGGAGTTTGAAGTTACTATGAGCTAGGCTGAAGCCACGACACTTAAGCCCAAGTAAAAGTGAGACTCTGTCTCAAAAAAAACAAAAACAAACAAACAAACAAAAAAACCCACCTATTAAAACAGTGCCTAGAAATAGTAAGTACTATATAAATGTCAGTTACTATAACTCAAAATTATAACAAATAGATCAAGGCTCCAGAAATAGGTCAGCTTTTAGAAGTACAGATTTCTTGTAAGGTTTCTGGATTTTTATAGGATTGCAAATATGATTTGGATTAGTCCGCCCCCAAAAATATTTGGCTTAATAATTGATTACTGAAATTTTAAGAAGAAACTATTTTGTACCACTCAGTATATAGTGGGAAATTCACTAAGAAGAGATGTTTGGCTGGCATAAAACCATTAAAGGAATCCTAAGTGTAATGTTAAACTCAGCTCTGAAACACAAGCTTTACATTATCGGCCTATCAGTTCTCAAGTTCCTGGAAGCAGACACACTTGGTTTTTTTCAAGTAGTCATTCTTTGTTATTGCTTTTAACTTAGATAAACAACCTTGAGAAACTTTTTATAGGCATTATTTGTGATTGATTGTTACTTAAACTGAAAGCTGTGGAAGACTGTCAAAATATCTTTAACATTGTGCTTTTCCAAAGGAAAGGGTAATTCCTTTGAAAGTAATAATAAGTGTATGAAAGAATCCCAGATATCAGAAAGAAAAAAAAAAAGACCTCTTGGATGGCATTCACCTGCCAAAATGGGAAAGTCTGTTTCAGGGGCTAATGAGTTTTGCTTGTTTCATTCTGCTAAGCACACTCAGGTTGCCTAAATGGGGGCCAAATACATTAGGCAGTGCCCCAGCAAATTACTTTTCCAGTCAGGAAAGACCATGTCCCTTCTGCCTCTTTAACAGTAATGGCCAATTCACAGCCATCTAAGAATATGGATTTTCATTAAAGATTTGACTGACCTGATTGAACTAAATGTTCATTACATATATAATACATGTACTTCTTTTCATAATATTTATGAACAAATATTTTACCTTATAACAACTAATTTTCTTTTTCAGACGGAGTCTTACTCTGTCACACTCAGAACAGTGCAGTGGTGTCATAGCTCACAGCAACCTTAGACTCTTCAACTCAAGTAATTTTCTTGCCTCAGCCACCGGAGTAGCTTGGACTACAGGCGCCCGCCACAATGCCTGGCTGTTTTTAGAGATGGGGTCTGGCTCTTGCTCAGGCTGGTCTCCAACTCATGAGCTCAGGTGATCTGCCAGCCTGGGCCTACCAGACTGTGGATAAAAACAACTAATTTTATTTCAGTGTCTATACATGAGTTATGGCAGCTTATATCCAATATGGAGATTGATGAAATAGACAAAAATAAAGTGCAAATCAGCATTCTGAACTGAGAGCATATTTAAGAGAATTACAGAATTGCATGAATTAGAACTTGAATTTGCAAGCCAGGATGATCTGCTTGAGCAAATACAGACGTAAGGGTCAGAATGGTGAGCTGTGAAGCCTGTTTATTTCCTAACGCATTTGAAGCGGCACAAGTTATTTAATCTCTCTAAGCCTATTTCTTCACCTATGAAATGGAGACTGTATCGACCTTGAAACCTTGAAAGAATTCAATTAGATATATATGTGAAAGGCAGAAAAAAATTGTCTCTCCAGCAATCCACTCCCCCTCCCAGAACACTAAATTCCCAGAAAAATGGTTTTCAGTAAAAGAAGCATTTCATGCGAAATGTGTGAAATAATTACCAAGAAAATACTTTATAGTAAGTAGGGAAGGAGACTCAACCCTCAATCAGTTTAATAATCACCTTGGTTATTAATTCTCTGGTAACTAAATCTCAAAGTACCAAAAAGGGATATTTTCCTTCGTATTGCAATGAAACCACCATTTGTAGTCAGCGAAGAGACTCAAGAACCTGAAAAATGTCCCTTATTCTATGGAGAATGGAGAGGAATCAAGGTCACTAGAAAGTCACACATGGGAACCATCACTTAACCCGCGGGCATTTATGTCTGCTTTTCCAGGACTTGAATCCCGGAGCAGCCCTCAGAATGAAAACTGATCTGGGAACAGAGGCTTGAGTCAGGTTACTTCTGGAGGTCGTCCCAGACCATCACCGCACACCAAGTAGTATCTTTCACTTACATCTGAAAATATAAAATCTTCCACGGAAGGATGACGTAAATGGGAAGGGAGATAATAGACAATGGTCTCCTATGTGGCCTCCTACGTGGCAGCAGGCGAAGGGGCAGGAGGTACTCTCCGGGACCCCAGCATCCTCCTGCAGTCTCCAGAGTTCCCGTCACACTTCCCAGAATTCTCGGTGCACCAGAGAGTGTGAGCCTGGAAGAGGCAGGTCAAGAATCGCCCTCCCGCCCCGCCCCGCCCCAAGGGTCCCAGCCCCCGGTGGCCTCCAATACGCCCCGGACCGCGTAGCGCCGCGCGCCAAGTAACGCGCATCTCTACACCTCAAAGGCAGCAGGGCCCACGTGAGCCCCAGGTGACAGCCTCAGTGCAGTCGCTAGCAGGCATCACTCTTGGGGCCCATGTGCATCTACTTAGAATATGAGGACATTCTCCAGAAACCAGCCACAGGAGGAAGATGTGGGCTCTCCGTGGAAGCAAAGCCCGCACAGCCCGAGAGCGCGAAGGGAAACCTCGGGAGTCATTCTTATTAGCTTCCCTCCACATAAACTGATCTGCTAATGTCAATTTGTCCCTGAAAACAATGTCGGAGAGAGGCGAGGGGACAGATTTTAAAACAGCATTTGGGAATCCCGTAGAGTGCGCGGGAGACAGTCGCACTCACCTGTCAGCGTTGGGGGAGAGAGCGAGGCAGCGCGAGGCAAACGACCTGGCGCGCAGGCGCACGTCTCTCCCGTTCGCCCTTCCGGTCAAGCCACTATCCCCACCCATCTCTCTGGCCCCGCCCCCTCCGCTCGCCCCGCCCTCCATCCTCCGCGTCTACTTCCCAAGCCGGCCTCTCCTCAGCCTGCACTGCACCCTCCCGGCCTGGGACGTCGCTGTACGGGTCTCCTAGCTCCACCACTGACACCTCTAGCGCTCGGACAGGAGCGAAAGGCGGAGCGAGGTGGGGGGCGGAGTAGCCACGGTTTAGGGAAGGCAGCGGCGGTGGCGTAGGAGTCAGTGATCCCGGCGCGATGGCCGCCTCGGTGTTTTGCTGCCTGCGATGCTGCAGAGACGGCGGGACTGGCCACATCCCTCTGAAGGAAATGCCGGCCGTGCAGCTGGACACGCAGCACATGGGTAAGGGCCTTCCCTTCCCCAGACCCAACGGCCCACTAGGGCTGGGCTCAGCGAGCAGGAGGCCTTGGGGGGTCGGAAGGACTGACTACAGCTGTCCGGCCGCTCTGGCCCCGCCCTCGCCGGCGACGCTCCTGCAGACACCACTTGGTCTCGCGGGTCACCGCCGGCGCCGGCCGTGTCCACCTGGACCTGGGTTCTGCCTTCAAGGCTGCGCAGCCCTGCGTGTGCCTGTCAGAGGGAGCGCGTGTGTTGACCTCCCCATTTCCACAGTAATCTCCGCGCTGCCTCCTGAGATGTCAAATGTCCCCAGGCGAGGAGAGCGAGGAATATCCTAGTGCCCCCGCAACTGTGCCCTCCTGTCGCGCTCAAATCAAAACCTACACATTTTCTGGTCTTGCCCCTTCTTCTGTCCTGACGGTTGTTTCTCTTTAGCCCCATTATTTATAGGTTGAAGCTTGTTTTATTGGAAGTAATTTTCCTCTCACCTCCTAAAAGCCAAAAACAAAGCAGATTGCAGAAGCCTGAAGTCAAACCTCAGGTCAGAACATGCCATTTCAACTAAAATCTCCCATTGCCCGACTTTTAGTCATTGTGCTGTAATTTCATCTCACTGGCCTCTTCCCGACAGTCACGTTGCAAAATAAACTAACACTTTGCTCTTCCGAATCTTTTTCCTTTCCAATTACAAGTGGTCACATAACACATAACTTATCTAAAATTATACCTTTTCCTCCATAACCTGTTTTGCCATCTTATTTCTATTTTTGTATTTTCCTCATACAGTCCCATGCTTCTGGAATGCGATTCTAGAAGGAGAGACTTCTCAATATAATTATTTCAGCCAGAGTACTATCTTTTGTGGGTTATTTTATCCTAACAATACTTCTCTGCACTTTCGGTTTTTTCCCACATCTTTCATTGTCTAAAGGACAGTGCATTGATGTAACAAGAGCAATCCTTTTTTTTTTTTTTTTTTTTTTTTGAAACATAGTCTCACTCTGCTGCCCCAGCTAGAGTGCATTGGCTTCATCACAGCTCTCTGCAGCTACTTCAAACTCCTGGGTTCAAGTAATTCTCCTGCCTCAGCCTCCCAAATAGCAGGGACTACAGATGTGCCCCACTACTTCCGGCTAATTTTTTCTATTTTTTCTAGAGAGAGGGGTCTCACTCTTGCACAGGATGGTCTCAAACTCCTGACCTCAGGCAATCCTCCAGCCTCAGCCTCCCAGAGTGCTGGGATTACAGGAGTGAGCCACCACACCTGGCCTAGCAATTCTTAATATTTATACCAAAACTCTCTCCCCCCTAGATTTTTTATAATTCTGCGAATCATCTGCCCATTATATTTCTGTAGCACACACTAAATGTGATAATGATTTACCACCTGGTATGTGGGTATTTGCTTTTAACTCTAAGATCTCTCAAGTGTAGGATAGAATGTTAATAAATAAATTTGTACATTTAAATTATTCTTACCCATCATCATTTACAGATAGTGAATGTTCAAATCTTGCAGTTTCCCTAAGAAAATGTTTCCTGGTATTTATTAAGTGACTATCAGGTGGCAAGCATTGTTATAAGAGCTGGGAAGTACAGTAAAGGACAACCACCCATAGCTATGGTAGCTTAGAGTCAGCTTTAGCTCTTCTTCCTCTCTCTACCACCAGACTCTTGAATCACTGCAGTCTGCTCTTCAGAGCATTTTCTCTGGCCCGTTTTCAGAATGGCCAGCTGTACTCATGCCACTATGTTTTTCTTTTTCCAAAGCTATCCAGCAACTTTCAGCTACTAATTGGATGAAGTAGATTAATGTCATCTCTAAATTTTCTAACAGCATGGAAGTTTATTCCTAATATTTTTTCCAGTAAATTCTTCAATCAAAGAGAAATCTGATTTGAGAACCTGAATAAAATGAGAGGAAAAGGTTATTGAACTAGGTCTAGAGCATGTTTCAAGCATGAATTGATCTAAACTTGAAACTATGAAAAGCACATATATTTGGATATGTTAAAGTTTATATTAGATGACCTAGAAAACATGGTATTTTCAAAAAATAGTCTATATATTTCATATCCAAATGATATTTTTTTCAGGGTTATCACTTTTACTGGTGATATTGCAGGACTTAAAACCATTTTGGAATTCCTCTTTTGGAATTTTCTGCCACCTAGTTTTTGTAAATATCTTCATTGATGCCATATCTCAGAGGTCCTCAGATTTTTTAAACAGGGGGTCAGTTCACTGTCCCTCAGACCATTGGAGGGCTGGACTGTGGGCCCCGGGACAAGTCGGCTGCTAAGCAGGACAGGCAGCAGCAGCAAAAACACCCGGCGGCAGCCAGATACCGCATATGGCCCGCAGGCCGTAGTTTGAAGACACCTGCTATCTTCTGCATTTAATCATATATTGACATTTTAGATACAAATGACTTTCAAGATAGCTACTTTGAAAGGGATGCCACTCATTTGGAAATTTCTAACGTTTCTTAAAACATGCTCTGTGACTATGTTTATATGGTATTCTGGCTGTACTGAAATTTGTTTTTTGGGGTTTCTTTTTATTCTTGGGGATTCACTGAGGGTACAAAGAACCAGGTTACATTGATTGCTTGTGTTAGATAAAGACCCTCTTATAATAGTGTTCCATTCCCAAAAGGTGTACCACTCCCCATGACACCCCAACCCCCTCCCTCCTTCCTTCTCTCTGCTTTCCCCATCCCCCACCCCCCACTGTGCGCTAGGTCATTAATTGTCCTCATATCAGAATTGAGTACATAGGACTCTTGCGATACTTTGCTAAGGAGAATGTTTTCCACTTCCATCCAGATTAATACAAAAATCTCCATCGTTTTTAGTGGCTGAATAGTATTCCATGGTATACGTATGCCACAGCTTATTAATCCATTCCTGGGTTAGTGGCCATTGAGAAAATTGTTTCCACATTTTGGTGATTGTAAATAGAGCTGCAATAAAACAGATGAGTGCAAGTGTCCTTATGGTGAAAGGATTTTTTTTCCCCTGGGTAGATGCCAGTAATGGGATTGTAGGATCAAATGGGAGGTCTAGTTTAAGTTCTTTGAGGGTTCTCCAACTTCCTTCCTAAAAGGTTGTATTAGTTTGCAGTCCACCAGCAATGTAAAAGTGTTCCCTCTTCTCCACACCCATACTAGCATCTGCAGTTTTGAGATTTTGTGATGTGAGCTATTCTCGCTGGGGTTAGATAATACCTCAGGGTGGTTTTGATTTGCATTTCTCTAATAATTAGGGACAATGTGCATTCATTCATATATTTGTTAAGCCATTTGTCTGTATTCTTTAGAGAATGTTGTATTCATCTCTCTTGCCCAGTGATATAAGGGAATGTTGGCTCTTTTTATGTTGCTTAATTTGAGTTCTTTGTAGATCCTAGTTATTAAGCTTTTGTCTGATTCAAAATATGCAAATATCCTTGCCCATTGTGTAGGTTGTCTATTTGCTTTAGTTGGTGTCTCATTAGCTGTAAAGAAGCTTTTCAGTTTAATTAAGACCCATTTGTTTATAACTCAATTCTGTTGTTGCAGTTGCCATGCGAGTCTTCCTCATAAAGTCTTTCCCTAGACCGATAGCTTCAAGTGTTTTCCCCACAGTTTCTTTGAGGATTTTTTATTTTTTGTGCCTTACATTTAGGTCTTTTATCCATTTTGAATCAATTTTTGTGAGTGGAGAAAGGTGCGGGTCCAGTTTCAGTCTTTTACATGTGGATATCCAGTTCTCCTAGCACCATTTATTGAATAGGGATTCTTTCCCCCAGTGTATGTCCTTGATTGGTTTATCAAAGATTAGATGGCTGTAAGATGTTAGTTTCATTTCTTGTTTTCTACTCAGTTCCATATGTCTATGTCTCTATTTTTGTGCCAATATCACACTGTTTTAATCACTATGGCCTTGTAGTATGGCCTAAGGTCTGGTAGGCTGATGCCCCCGGCTTTGTTTTTATTGCTAAGAATTGCCTTGGCTATATGAGGTTTCTTCTGATTCCATACAAAATGAAGAATTATTTTTCCCAAGTCTTGAAAGTATGATACTGTTATTTTAATAGGGATGACATTGAATCTGTAGATTGCTTTGGGATGTATAAACATTTTAATGTTGATTCTTCTCAGCCATGAGCATGGTATGTTCTTTTCTGCTATTTTTGTTCTTGGGAGTTTGTAGTTTTCTTTATAGAGGTCCTTCACCCCTTTGTGTGGTATATTCCTAGGTATTTCATTTTCTTTAAAGCTCCTGAGAAGGGAATTGATTAGCTTCTCATCTTGGTTATTATTGGCATATGTAAAGACTACTGATTTGTGGACACTGATTTTATATATTGAGACATGACTGTATTTTTTGATAAATTCCAGAAGTCTTGTGGTTAAGACTTTGGGGTTCTCTAAGTATAAGGTCAAATCAGCAAAAAAGGAGAGTTTCACTTCCTCTGCCCCCATTTGGATGCTCTTTATTTCCTTCTCTTGCCTATTTGTATTGGCTAGAACTTCCAGCACTATGTTGAGTAGCAGTGGTGATAGAGGACAACCTTGCCTTGTTCCAGATCTAAGTGGAAAAGCTCTCAGTTTTACTCTGTTCAATATAATATTAGCTGTGAGTTTGTCGTAGATGGCATTGATCAGTTTAATAAATGTGCCACCAATGCCTATATTCTACAGAGTTCTAATTAGAAAGGGATGTTGAATTTTATCCAGTGCTTTTCTGCATCTAATGAGAAGATCATGTGGTCTTTGTTTTTGCTTCTGTTGATATGGTGAATTACATTTATGGATTTGTGTATGTTAAACCAGCCTTGCATCCCTGGGATGAAACCTACTTGATCATGGTATGTGATTTTTTAAATGATGAGCTGTAATCTGTTGGCTAGGATTTCATTGAGCATCTTTGCATCTGTATTCATTAGTGAAATTGGTCTGTGTCATCTTTTGTTATTTCCTCTTTATCATTCCTGATTACAGTTACTGATTGCTGTTA